GGGGGGGGGGGGGGGTCTGTCCACCCAGAGTCATTTTTGGACGCGGTCCTGTTTGTGGCTGTCCCTATGGATGCCCGGTGCCCAGAACTGAACCTGTCACCTCCCTCAGTCCAGGCCCTTCACCTCTAATAATGATGCCCTCTAATAATGATGCCCTCAGACTTCCCCGGTGGTCCAGTGGTTAGGACTCCACGCTTCCACTGCAGTGGGCATGGGTTCGACCCCTGGTCAGGGAACTAAGATCCCACGTGCTGTGTGGCACGGTGGAAAAAAATAATAATTTTTTTTAAAATTTTAAAAAATTAATCATGATGCCCTCTCCCTACATACACCTCACCATGACTCCCGTCCACCTTCCTCCTGTGCGTGTGTGATGGTCACCAAGGCCCCATCGCCCAGGCCAGTGGGTGATGACACTTGGCGGGCCTCTCTGGGCCTCTCCCCTCTGGGCTCTGCTTCAAGCTCCTGGAGGCCACCCAGGGCCTGCAGGCTGAAGGCCAGACCCCAGCCCTACCCTTGGGTCCAGCCTCTTTCCCCAGCCCCACCCTGGACCCCTCACTTCGGCCGACACCACCTACCCGCCAGGTACAGAAGGAGCTCAGTGGTGTCTGACGGAAGAAATCCACTCAGAGCCTGAAGCAGTGGAGACCCTGATGTGGGGAGGGCTTAGACATAGTTGGCGGTGCACACCCTGGGGTCTGGACGGTCCCAGGCTGGGAAGCCTCGGTTCCTCCATCTGTAAAACGGAAATCATCTGATCTGACTGATGGGACTGTCATGAGGTGTGTAAAGGGCTGGGTGTGCAGCAGGCACCCAGGAGACGGAGCAGGTGGGGGTGAGGCTGTCCGGTGAGCAGGCCGCACCGTGAGGGGTGAGTCTGCCCAGGAAGGCGGGGGGCCATTCTCCTGGCACTGCCCGCAGCCTGAGGCCTTGGGGCATTTCTGAGGCAACAGTGCCCCCTGGTGGCCACCCAGTCTACCCCAAAGCACAGCACTCCAGGCCTCAGGCCTCAGGCCTCGGCTACCCTCTCCGCGGCTCTGAGCAGGGTTTACTGTCGCCATTTTATAAATGAGACCCAGACAGGGCAAGTCGCTGCCCAGCGTCACACAGCCAACCAGAAGTAGGGCCAGACCTCAAACTCGGGTCTGCCCAGCTGCCAGGCCACTGCCGTCCGCCCTGCCGACGGCAGCTGAAGGCACCCACAGGGACTGTGCTGGGAGACTCGGCAACATCTCCCACCCCCCAGAAAGGCAGGAAAGTCCTCACACAGAATTATTTTGGATTCGCTTTGTTGTAAAGACGACACCTGGCACCGGGCTGGGAGAGAGGGACGGGGCTGCGGGCCAGGGGAGTCCGGGGGGAGCTGCTCCATCCCTAACGCTACACTGAAGGGGCCGTGCAAGTCTGGTGTCAGTGGGAGCCCTCACTCCCCCGGCCCCTGCTCGGTCTGAGGGCCCTCTGCACCTCCCTTACCTTTCTCCTCACTCCTACCCGCCACGGCCTCTCTCTGGTTATTATCCCAGGGCATCAGCCCTGGAAGAAACTTGGGGCTCATTGGGTTCAGCTTCCTTGCCCTGCTTGACGGAAGCAGTGAGGCCTGGAGAGGGAGAGGGGCTGGTCACAGCGGAGCCGGGGAGGGGGCTGCCCATTGCTCCTAAATCTTTGACATGGGAGAGAATTCCATGAGCAGCTCATGCCAGGAGTGCCCCACCCCTGCTGGCTGGGCTAATGCTGGTCCCTCGGGCAGGGGCACAGGCTGTGGGCTGGGAGGCACAGAGCGGGGAGAGCACCGCGGGTCCCACCAGGCTGCCTCTGACGGCCTCGTCTTCCTTTGGCACAGGGCGCTGTGCAGAGCTGCAGGTCCACGTCACTGAGGTCATGGCCACAGCAGCCGAGCAGAGGGACCTGATCGCCCGCTTGGAGCAGGACCTCAGCACCATCCAGTCCATCCAGCGGCCGGACGCCGAGGTGAGCCCACCCCCAACCCTGCCCCCTTACCACCTGCCCAGGGCTCTCTCATCCTCACTGAATACCGGCTCTCCAAGTAAGCCAGCCCGTTCCTCAGGCAGCTGGTGTCCACCTGCCCCGCACCACGCCCCACAGGGACTGTCACCTACAGCCTCTGGGTTTTGTCTGCTCACTTCACCACAAAGGCCCAATTCGGGATGCCCAGCCACAGGGCACAGGGCACAAAGCTCCCTGCATCCGGGCACTGGCTTGGACCTCTGCCCTGGGAGCTCTGGGCAGGAGCAAGGCCGGGATTATCCACCCATCTCACAGCTAGAGGACCTGAGGCCCCGAGATCAGGGAAGGCTGGAGCCCTAAGGACCCTTAGAGGTCATCACATCACCCACCTCATTTTACAGATGAAGAAATGGGGCTCAGGGAGAGAAGCTGGGCTGGCCCAGGGCCACACAGCAGGCTGGCTGGCAGGGCCCGGTTTGCCTGGCCTCTGACGCCCGTCAGGGCCAAAAGGCCCGGTGTGAACCCCACCGCTGAGCTCTGGCCTTGGGGTGAACCTGGGGCCCAGCCTTATCTTCAGTGGCCCACACGAGGCATCCTCTTAGGTCCTGCCACCGCTGTGCCCAACCCCTGCCTCCAGACTGCCCCACCTGCTCCTTGCCCCCTATCTGCTTGGCCCCCTGGAAGGCTGTGCTCAATGCCCAGTATGGAGGCGCCTCCCTGACCTGTTCCTCTCACCTGCAGGGCGCAGCCGAGCTCGGCCTGGAGAAGATCCCTGAGCCCATCAAGGAGGCCACCGCCCTGTTCTATGGTGAGGAGCGGCCTAGGCAGTGACGG